CCTGTCACCCCGCCGGGCCTTTTCTTTTTTTAAATAGAAAACGGTTGAATGGCTTTAAAACGTCCTATCGTTTCAGCAGGGGGCGGCAGCAGGGTTCTCCGCAGTGAATTCTGCCTTTTCGGGTTTTGTTGGGTTTTTTTTAACCTCTTCATGAGCGTGAGAGCGAGAGGCTGCCGGGGTAGACCGTCCCGGCTCTGCCGCCTCTGAGCTCGGAGGCAAAGGGAAGTGTTGCCCTGGAAGAGACTGCAAAGGAAAGTGTTGCCCTGGAAGAGGCGATAAAGGAAACTGTTGCCCTGGAAGAGGCGGTTCTTGAGCTGCCTTGCTCTTGCTGCGCACCCTGGGTGGCTGGGGAAGGCAAAACCTGCCGGCAGATAAAGCCTGGAACTGGTGGAGAACCTGTCCTGGGCAGCTGCACCCCCAAAGTTGTTCAAAATGTCACAGAATCAGGCGTTTCTGTCCGTAAAGAATCAAAATCCTTATAATCAGATCTTTTTTTTTTCCCCATGAGGTGGTCAAGGAATGATCCAACTTTGAGCTGCTCTTGCTGCAAGCTGCTCATCAGAGCTTGCAAAGTGTTCTTTCTGTGACATCAGGCAGATAAGCAGTGATATGTAACTCGGGTTCTTTTCCTCCAGTACTTGTTTTTCATATTTGTTCACTGAAAGTCAGGTTGGGCTGCATAAAGAGAGCAGAATTGAGCTGATTGGTTCTATTCCCTCATAAATCTGGCAAGTCGACACCAGATTGGCAAATCTGAGGCTTTTTGTGGTTAGAATCAACTTCCTTATATGCATTTCAGACAATCTCAGGGCTTGTGCAGTGGCAAAAACTCAGTTCCATTTCATCCTCGAGACAAAACAAGTGAATCAACATAAACTTCCTTTCTTTCTTTAAATAAATTACACGTTTTGGGGCCTCTGAACATGTTTGCTGAGCCCTTTGTAGCCATCAGATCTTGGGCACTCTGTTCCCTTCCTTGAGATGGAGGTGAGTCGGAGCCCTTGTGCTGAGATCCCTGGGATCACTCTGCTTGCCCTGGGATCTTCTGCACAGTGATCAGGTTTATGCTGAGGAGGTTTCCAAGGTGAAAGCTGTGAGCTTTCAGGCCATCCCTGGATTCTGCTTGTTCCTGGGGTGTAGCATTGACCCGTGGTGTGCAGGATGCTGCCTGCAACACCTGCACCAGGGAGTCTAGGGTTTGTCTTCGTTCTGTCACAGCACAATTTCGACTGGCAGTTCAGACAAGATTAAAAAAGAGAGGATTGAAGTGGTCTCATTCTGAAAACTGCTCTTTTGTTTCTTTTTTCAGCAAGAAAGATGGCTCAGAACTCGTGGTCTGGATTTTGAAGGTCACTGATGCTTTCTGCGAAGTATTTATTGCCCGGTTCCAGTTCTGTGTCATGTATATGAGGCCACTCAAATCGTTTTTTTTGTTTCTGCTGGTGTTCTCTGTCATAACGGTGTGGTACGTAACGTTTTACTCCAGCCCTGTGCTTGAGCACACAAACCTGATGTATTTCTATGAGTATGAGCCCGTTTACAAGCAGCACTACCTCTTCACTCTGCGGGAACGCCTCAAGTGCAAAGACATCAACCCCTTCCTGGTCATCTTGGTGTCTTCCAGACCCGAGGACGTGAAGTCCAGGCAGGCCATCAGGATCACGTGGGGATCTCAGAACTCCTGGTGGGGGCATCGAGTTCTAACCCTGTTCTTGCTCGGGCAGGACAGTGAGGGAGAAGACAATGCTGCAGCGCTCTCGGTGGAAGATGAAAGCGTCCTCTACGGCGACATCATTCGCCAAGATTTTAGGGACACTTACAACAACCTCACCTTGAAAACTATCATGGCCTTCAGGTGGGCCACGGAGTTCTGTCCCAATGCCACGTTCCTCATGAAGGCGGATTCCGATGTCTTCATCAACACCCCCAACCTCATCCAGTTCCTTCTGCAGCTGAATTCCTCAGAAGATGTTTTTACTGGTTATCCTCTGGTTGGTAACTATGCGTACAGGGGCTTTCAGCTGAAGAACTACATCTCTTACAAGGAATATCCCTTCAGGCTGTATCCCCCATATTGCAGTGGGATGGCTTATATCCTGAATGGAAAACTAGTTCCAAGGATCTATGAACTGATGAGTCATATCAAACCTATTAAATTTGAGGATGTTTATGTTGGAATTTGCTTAAATATCCTTAAAGTGAATATCAGTATTCCAGAAGATAATAAATTCTTTTTGTATAAAATTAATTTTGATATCTGCAGGTACAGGCATTTGATTGCAGTGCATGGCCTCACATCAAGTGAAATAATCAGTTCTTGGCAGGAATTGTTATCAAAGACTTCAGTTACTTGCCCTTGAGTCTGTGCTAATATATAAACTTCAACCTGTTCCTTGTGAAAACATTGGAAGTCCAGGGCAGCACCAAACAAAACCACAGGTCACAGGGGTGACTGGGACTGGAGCAGGGTCGTGCTGCTGGGGCAGCTTTTCTTGGAGATGTTCTCCTATCCTCCAGGAAAAGTGGCAGGCATTCACAACACACTTTTCCACGAGTGCAGGAAACTTTGGGGTGTGGTGTCCTGCCTTCCTACCTCTGACACTTCTCCATGGAGTCAGCTGTAAGCACAGGATTCTACCTGAGTCTCATGGAACATATGACATGTCACTGAGGAATTATGTTTATGCCAAGGAACTAGTTTTCAAGGTGCTTCCAAATTCCTACCTGGATTTTAAAAATTGCCTTTGGAACTGTTGTCGTCCTTTGCTGCCTTCAAGTGTTTGTCCTCTGCCCAACAACCTCCTTTTTGCAACATATCCCCCCTGCAGTCCTTCTGGGAGTCTCACACCTCAAGGAAACACATCACCTCCCTAATCCTTCATAGAGTGTTGCAATCCTGTGGATCCTGGGCGTGCTGAAGCTGCTGAGAAATGATGAAAATGTGAGTCCTGTTTCTCAGAGAAGACAAAACTACTGCATCTCTGTAAAGACGGGTGTTCTAATCACTTTATTCATATCAGCAAGGCCAAGTTTTCAGTACTTTACACTTCTAACAGACAACAATACAGAATTTGCAGTTGCATTAACATAATTGTTCTTGACACATCCACTACACAGTGAAGATACTATAGTTACATCCTGTACATGGAGAATGACAGAGCACTGCCACCTTCTTGTCCTGCAGCTACGGTGCTATCATGTATTTACATTTGGCTGTCTTTCTCATCGTCTCTTAGAGACAAATTAGAAGAGGTGCAGAAACCTCTAGTACCACATTTGAGGTTTCACCAGGTTTTTTTTTTGTTACATTGTGGTTATGGTCAGTATTGGATTTTGCTTTTCAGTGCACATGGGGTTGTGATGGAATTAGAGGACGTGTTATTTTTTTTTTAGGTCTAAAAACGAGGTCTTGGGGAGAATACTCTCTAGCCAAGTATTTCAGATGTCAGTGTTAAAAGAATGTATGTTAAGGGCAAAGTTTTTCAAAAATAGATTATTTTGGTAAACTAAATAGCTAAAGTATTGCATAACAGAGGGGAGAATGCTGTTGTGTTCCTAGGAACAGCCACAACTACAGCTGTTCCTGTGGTGGTAGGATCTGGTGTTTGATTGTTGTCCTGTGGTCAGATCCTAGGAGCTCTGTGAGAAGTATTTAACTTGTTCTTTGACTGTTCATACATCCTAAAAAAACCCAATGCTCCCTTTTATTTATAGGCCTGCTATGTTCAATATTGAGAAATACATTATTTGTCACAAGAACACTGATACTACAGCACGATTTGTATTGCTTTTTCAAAATAAATAATGTCATTAAGAAAGACTGTGTGATCTTCAGAAAGTGGACAGATGAAGCAGGCAGCTCCTGATGGGTAAGGAACGAGGGTCTCAGAGCAGTGGCTGTGTGGGGCTGCCACAAACCCACCCATCACCCAGCGAGGCTGTTGTGTCTGTGCCCCAGAAGGGTGACACTGACCATCCATCACTTCACAAAGTCACCTGCCACCTGCCATTGTCATCTTCAGCGGCATCGATTCTGCAAGAAATTTACATCTTCAAATACTCCTGCTCCTGTGTTGTTGTTGTTTTTTAAACCTAACTTCCAAATCTGGGTCGTATTTGAGTCTGACCTTATTATTGCTTAAAAGACCATAAAAATTCAGAGCTGAGCTAATGTCTGTGCTTAGAGCAAACAACAGGAGGGCTCCTAGCACGAGCAAAGAACAGCTTAACGCTGTGAGCTAATGTAAGTACTAAAGTCAGTCCTGGGCCCAGATTCTATTGCCTCTGCCTACAATATTGGACTACAAAGGAAGCCTAAACCACAGGCAAAGAATTTGCCAAATCCTGAGATCCTTCATCCGCAGGCAGGTGGTTCAGAAAGCTGTATTAAATCAGAATGCCAAGCACATGAGGTTTTGAAGTGAGAAGTTTGGGGCTTTCTGACTCGAAAAGTCTGATGATAATCTGGTGGTCAAAGATGTTTGGAAACTGCTGCTGGGTGGAGAGCAAAAGGGGTTTTACAGACAAATTTCAAGCCTGTGTTGCCGGTATGTTATTTCAGAAGAGTTAAAAGGTCAAAACACACAATGTGTTTTGTGTGCTTTCAGGAAGGAAAATAAACCATGAAATTGAAGATGCTGTAAGTTTAGGGGCATTATTCTCTATGATCAGGTCAGTATTTACAGGACAGAGAAGGTCTGGAAGATTTTCCTAAGTTTTGTCTTACATTTGCTAGTTACTTGTAGAGCCAGTTGATTGTAGCTAGGCCACCACTGCCTGGATGCACACAAAATAATGTAGTTTTATTGTATTTCTTTCAAATGTCAACTACAAGCTGATGGGAGGTTAACCAAACGACATGACACTGAATTCCTGACCGTGTCCATGGGTTATGTTGGGTGTGCTGAAGGGGGGTGGGAGGCAGAGCTTTGCTCCCTATTTGTCACATTTTCATTCTCTTCCACTTCAGTCTGAGCACCGTGCACCCCTGGGTCATGTTTTACAGTTTCCCTCAGGCAGAGGTGGTGGGAAGGAACTGGAAAAGCTTCCTGCAGCTCCTGGTGAGCTGAGCTGGGCAGGTTTTGATGCAGGTCCCAGGTATGGTGTGTGAGGCTGTGAGCCACGGCTGAACGCAAGGACTCCAGGTAGGAACGACAGAAAAGTTAAGTTTTCCTATAAAATAAAGACTAAAAGGCCAGGCTGACCCCCAGTGACCTCTCTCTGGAGACGGTTGATAGATCTGAGCTCTGTTTACCTCTTTCCTTCTGATGGTTGCTGTGCAGCACGTGCATTTTCCAGCCTGCACTAATTCCTCGGAGTTGTTTTTTGGATGTGAGACAGGATGGTGTGGAGGTGTCCTGTCCCTTCCCCCAGCTCTGGACATCCCAGCCTCTCCTCTCTGGAATGTTTTCCCTGCCCTGGCCCTCTGCCGAGGAGTAAACTGCTGTCAGCCCTCAGCTTACAATACAGATAAAATCTTAAAACCACTTCTGGCTCCTAGTGAAAAGACGTTACAAAGGAGCCTGAAGAGGCTCTTATCTAGGATAACACAGCCCTGCTGCACTGAATGGAAGCTGTCCTGGACCCAGATGGATTACTTCAACCTCCCTTCTGTTATCTTGTGTGCTGGGAAGGGTGTCTGTTCATAAAGCTCCGACCTGCCCTTGCAGAGCTCTGGCTGTTCATTTCCATAATGAGTCTGTCTCATTTTGAGAGAGCACTTCCAGATACACCAGGCAGAAGTGGTTTTAGAGTGGCTCAGTGTAATATTCACACACAACAGCTTTTAAAGTGGTTTTTTTTTCAGGGCTTTCTGAGCATCCATGTCCCTAGAAGTGCTGATGCATCTCCACAGCTCACAGGAATCCTGGGCTGTATCATTCTGGGCTGTATCCAAAGAAGTGTGGCCAGCAGATGGAGAGAGGTGATTCTGCCTTTCTGCTCTGCCCTGGTGAGACCTCACCTAGAACAGTGTGTCCAGCTCTGGAGCCCCCAGCACGAGAAAGATGTGGAGCTGTTGGAACGTGTCCAGAGAAGGGCCACGAAAATGATCCGAGGGCTGGAGCAGCTCTCTGATGAGGACAGGCTGAGGGAGCTGGGGTTGTTCAGTCTGGAGAAGAGAAAGCTCCAGGGGGATCTTATTGCAGCCTTCCAGTGCCTGAAGGGCCTGCAGGAAAGCTGGGGAGGGGCTTTTTACAGGGGCTTGCAGTGAGATGATGAGGGGTAATGGTTTTAAGCTGAAAGAAGAGATTTAGGTTAGAGATCAGGCATAAATTCTGCAGTGTGAGGGTGGTGAGACACTGAAACAGGCTGCCTAGAGCTGTTGTGGGGGCTCCATCCCTGGAGGTGTTCAAGGGCAGGTTGGATGGGGCTCTGAGCAGCCTGGTCTAGTGGGAGGTGTCCCTGCCCATGCAGGGGGGTTGGAACTCGATGATCATAAAGGTCTCTTCCAACTCAAAAAATTCTGTGATTCTGAAGACAGGACTGGCCATTTAAATTCAGGGAAAAAAAGTGCTTTATTGCCCTATTGCTCAGCCAGCTCAGCTCTTCCTTAGGAGTGAGCAGACCAGACAGGAGCTGACCTGCCCATAAAAGCAGATTTCAGAACTTAGGCAGCAATTGCTCTCCCTGTGAGCCTCTGTAATGATTTCTGACGACAGTTTCAGAGACTCTCCAGCTGCTTTGGCTGCACGTTTTGCTTAATGGTATCTAGACTGTGGTGTGTAAGAACAAACACCTATAATTTCCAGTTACCAGAAGGAAAACTAGGTGAAACAGCTGCTCACCTAAGCCTTGCCTAGTCAGCAGTATCTAAATAAAAGTGATTTGAACTTTAACTCAATATCAACTTAATTGTATGTATCTTTATAGATATGAGGCCTCAGGTTTAGAAAGATAATTTTAAAATATATTGCCAACAGGGAGGGCAGCAGCTCTGGCCTGTACAGTTGCCAAACTTCAGCAGAATGTTCTCAGTTTTAACCTTGTGGTTTTGTACAGCCGGATATTGGGGTGGAGACCTAAAAACCTACTTCAGAAAATCAAAGGCTGGTGAGGGTTGTTTATTTTTTCCTTTCAGTACAATCATTATACGTTTATCTGTGTAAATTGAGTATTAGATACAGCAGCAATGTGTTAATATTATTTAAAGCAAGGATGTGGTGTGTTCTGAGGCAGCTGAACAACAAAACTCCCTTCTTTCAAGGTGCATTAGTGTGTTTGTAGCAAACACTGCTAGTTCAAGCTGCTGCGGTGCTTTAGTGCCAGCTTCTGTGTCCTCAACACTCCACAGCTGTTTTGGATTTGAATTTGACCTCACGGGAATGGTAGAACACCGCCGGTAACAGCAGCAGGTTTTGGTACTGCCCTTGTCTTCCCAAGTCAGTAGACAAGGCGTGATGCTCAGGGCAGGGCAGCCACTAGACGGAGCTGCGATCCCACCGAACCGGGCTGCCCTTCCACATCCCCAGTACGGATCAGAACGAGGAACATCCTGGTAGTATGTTTAAAATGTTCTGTGTAAGTTAAAGCGTTTCTAATATCACTGGGAAGAGCCCAAATTCTTTTAAGTACTGGGTCAGATGACTCATTAGAAGGTGCCCCCCGGCAGCACTATCAGCGTCTCAGTTCTCAGCCCTGGGATGCTCTTGATGAGCAGATGTCCCCAGCAGAGCTACTGGAGCTTCAGCACCAAGACCCTCCTAGGATCACGCACACAAGAGGGAGCTCTCAGACCTGCAAGCAGCCCAGAGTGCCCGTGGGATGGATTATTAAGGCAGGATCAGCCCCTGGATGGTTTAGGTTGCATAAGCAACATGTCCATCACTTAATCTTGCCAGCCAACAGCTGTATGTATCACGACAGAATTTGGCACAAACTGCATGAAAGTTCCAGATGTCCAGAGTGGGATTACTGGCTGCCCAGAAGACTTGTAGCAGGGAGTAGGCACTGCTCTGTGTGGGGAAGACTGCAGGAAGCCTCTCCTCTCCACTAGTCCTGCACCTTTAAACCTAAAGTAGCTGCAGCTAGTTTTTAAAGGAATTAAACCCAAAAGTCAACAACCCTACCAGAGATCACTGCCATTAATGCCTTTGGCCAGGGAAGAGCTACTGGAAAGGTGGGAGTGTTGCAGAGAAACCTGAAGGTGCTAAAATAACTGCTGTTGCATCTGCAGACACCTGAAGGTTGAAATAGGGGTTGGGTAAGGGGCTGGATGGGCCTGCGAGTGCCAGAGCAAATGAAGCCTGCAATGAATATCCAGACACATCTGCAGAACAGTTCTGGATTGCACTGCACTGTTTCCCTAAATCCTGGGAGCATTCCAGAGAGAGCCACCCTCCCAGTTCCTGGTGAAGCTGTGAATACCTGTGGTTCTGCCATCTCCTTGTCCTGTCTCTCCAAGTGCTGCAGCAAGCAGTGAGTGGTGCTGAGGGCACCCCCCAGCCACACTCCCAGTGCCCAGAACATCAGCTGCAGGAGGCTCAGTGCCAGCCCTCAGCTCTTCCCTGTGACAGCTTTTTGGAGCTGACCATCGCTGCAGTTCCAAATGTTCAAATGCTTGTGCAGGGCTGTAGTGATGTCCCTGCTGTACAAGTGTTTCTTTGCTTTAAGAGGTCTGTAGGCTGCTGGCTCTGAGTCTTCTGTTCCCTGGGCAGCTGCTGTGACAAACCCGCAGGCCGGTGTCCTGCAGTGACAAGCCAGGAGAATGGAAACACCCCCCGTGGAGGAGAGAGGAGAGGCAAAGCCCTGCCTGCTGCTGGAGCCCTGCTGAGGGTGAGATGCAGCACTCCCAAGGAAACACCACACCAGGGGGTCACTTCACAGCACTCCAACCTCCAATACCTTCTCAAAATAAAGTGCAGCACTCTGCAGACACTAACATTTCCTGTGAGCTGCTCAGTTTCACTGCAAAGTTGCATTTAAACTTGACCGAATGCTCCATCCAAGGGAGTTAAAATGTCCAAAACCTTCCATACTTTTGCTTTCCACTTGCCTGTTCCTCAGAGCCCAGGGGCCCTCCCCAGTGTCTGGGATGAGAAGAGGCTGCTAAAGGCTCTGCCCATGTTTGGAGAGCACTGGTGCCAGCAAGGTATCCCAGTAGGAGTTGTGGTTATCTCCAAACCAACCACAGGAGCGAAGTTTGTTGGGGAAGAGATAAGCTAGGAATAGAAATTACCAGGCTAAGATGGGAATTCCTTCTCAGTCAGAGAGCAGAATTTGTGCTCTTTTGTTTTGCCTGGGGGGCCACCACACCTGCTCAGCTAGGCACAGCCAGGACAGGTCATGGTGCTGGGGGGAGCAGCAAGGCCTGAGCCCAGAAAGGCCCTGGGGGGTGATGAGAAAAAGGCAGCTTTTTAACCACAGAACAGTGTATCCTTACCCACAAAACAGACAGTGTTAATTAATGCATTAATTCCTGATTCATCTCAGGACCCAAGTACTGACAACCTCCATCACCTTGAGGACAAGGGACTTCAGTGGATCATCCAGGATGACGTTTCTGGGGGAGAGGGGAACCCCAAGCATTATTGTGAGACATGATACAGGTAACAAACCATCCAAAACACTAACCTTCATACCCAGTCCTGGCTCTGCTCCTCTAGCACCCCCTGCCTTGTGACTCTGCTGCTGCTGCCTCTTCATCATGAAGCACCCAGCCAAGTTGCCAGATGCAAAGCAAACTCAGGCTGTCATTGCTCAAATTCACAGATTCCAAAATACAATTGAATACTGAAAGGTAGATCTAAACATAATTTTACCTAAGTTTAACACAAGCTTTTGACTCTACAGGGCAATGACACTGCCTGGCATTTATATATCATACCAAGAAACAAGTTCTGAAGTGGTCTTCCCCTGGATTAACACCACAAATTAATCTGCAGTGGTACAAAAGGTCTCTTAATAGGCTTGACTTCCACCTAAGTAGCTCTAAGGATTGCCTGGTTTTGATTTATTAGTTTTCCAAACAGTCACCAACAGAATCAGTTTTATCTTGCATTACTTTCTTTCCATACCTATGAAAAATCCATGCCAAAAAACTAACGTAGAGGTGAGTCCCAGTGAATGACAGACATTCTTTATATAACAGAGCTAGTTTTTGATGTAGAAGGTGTCAGACCTCACAGGATTTTTCCGGGGTTTAACATGACTACATTTGAATAGAATATGGCATAGAAGAAACGTTATTAGAGTAATGCAGAGCCTGAATAAACATGTGGCTTCAGGTAATGTGGTAACTATACCTAATCACATGCTTGGCTTTATTTAAGGAGGAGGTTAAACAAGGTGAGGGAGCCAGCTCTGTGGCAGCAGGCTAGTGGTTGGCTTCTCTTCCTTCTTCAGGTCAGCAACAGGCCAAGAACTGCAAACCTTTTCCTACACAAACCTCATCACTGCAGATTAAAACAGAAAAGAGATGAGAACCACGAGTGTATCACTCTGAAGTTCCACAGCATCCTTCCTGTCCCTGGCTCTGGAGTAGCAGCACTGCCCTGCCCTGCAGCCCAATGACCCCCTGACTGCCAGAAACAAGAGGGGAGGAATCAAATGAAAAGTCTACACAGGATTTGTAAAGAATATTCTGAAATGGAAGATTATGGTTGGCTTCTAAGGAGGAGCAAGGTCACAGGAGACAGGTACATGTGAACAAACTTAATTCTTATAATCACCCAGGATGAAATTGTTGTATTGCTCCTTTTGTTAAGCAAAGAACAAAGGGTTCCTTTTGTGTGAATCTTAGCAGTATTTCCTAGAGCTTTCTACTATGTTTAAAATGTAAGAGTTTGGTTTAAGTTCAGAGTGAGGCAGAGAACCACTGGTAATTACTGTTCTTCTGTTTTGCTGCTATTCCTGAACTTCACCACCATCACTGTGATGTTATCAGGACATCCTCTGTAAAAGGACTGTAGAACTATACTCTTGGCACCGAAGTGTGGTTCATCCAAGCGTTCCTTGATGAATCGGACAGCTTCCTCGTTGCTGAAAGCATCCCACAGCCCATCTGAGGCCAGGATCATGAACTCTGGCTGCAGTTTGTCCAGGTCAAAGGTAAGGATATCAGGGTCAGGAATGACAACATTGAGGTTCTTCAGAGGGTAATCTCCTAAGGAGCGGGACATGGCCAGGATCCCCTGCACGCGCCAGGAGCCATTGAAGCTGATAAAACCACCTGGAGAGAAACACCAACACTTAAAGCAGTTCTTTTTAAAGTCAAAGCATTTCTCTGGCTTCCTGCCAAACCCACCCAAAAATTCATGCTGTGGTATGCTGAGGTGTACAGATGTCAGATATCTCCAGGAAAAGAAAGAAGCAGGAGGTGATCCCGGAGTGCAGCAGGGAAGAGCTGGACTGTGGCTGCCTCTGCTGTCAGAAGAGCTGATGCAGGACGTGGGGGGATGGCTCAGCTTTCCAACCAAGCAGCTCCATGCTCTCTGCTCCCCCAGAGACACTGACAGCTGACTTCAGACAGGTATTACTACACTACACAACTGCCTTCAGAAGCTTTATGCAATGTTAAGACAAAAACGCTGAAAGCAAAATCTTTGTACTCTTGGGTTAGTAAATGCTTCCTTTTCCTGTGTAGCTCAACGTTTTCCCCACGTCAGAAGATCTGTGATGGAAACAAGACTGAAAATGCCCTGCAGTAGGACTCACAGCTCACTTTTAAGGCATCAAGCAAAGAAGCAAGTGCAAAAATATTTATAGGCTCCTCTACCCAACTGCCTTGAATGAGCCATGTCAAAAGCACCACAAACCTGTTGTGAACAAACCAGTAACAAAATTTCACTCTAAGTCAGAAAAATGCAACGTGGGATCTGACTGATTGATTTTACCATCAGTGGGATTAAAGCTGTGCCTCTAGCTGAAAAGACATTATTTTATTGAGGGGTTGCTTCGAGTGGGATACTGAAATGGATGGTGCTGACACAGCCAGCACCTGCCTGCCACAGGCTGGTGGTGCTGGGGTGGGGGAAACAGCCCCAGGCTCAAGGTCAAAGACTACAATTCCTCTGCATGCATCTGCTGCCACTGCCTGCACTGCTTCACAGCACTGTTCCTTAACACCCATGACAAGTCAGCTGAGGACAAATAATTTGCAAACACGGAATGTTAAAATGTACTGCAAAATTAGATTAACTGTTGTCTTTTTTTTTTTTTTATCTGCAAGCTGTCAGCTTTGGTGTTCTTATAAATCTCTTTGTTCTCTGTAGTTACCAGAACATTTTCAGCTCTGTGCTTCAGCCTGTGTGTTATTTGTCAGACACTGAAATCTTGTGATGGCATTTTTACTCCTGGTTGGCTGATCTAATCTCTGAATTTCTCCTGCTTTCAGATGAAACTGCATTTCATTCAATGATTCACTGGTGTTTATAGCTTCAAACTTGATTTGTGTTAAAATCAGCAGAAACAAAAACTTTTTATCTGGGTGTTTTCATAAACTTCAGGGAGTCTCCATTACGGAGAAGTTTCCTTCCAAAGTCACAAGAAGACAGGGCTGGTGACCCTCCTGCAGCTCCTCCTCTTCACATGCAGTCAGACCAACCTCACCCAGCTGTTGCTGTGGGTGTTGAGGGCACCCTGGCTGAACGTTACACAGCCACCTACTCACCAGGCTGGGATGGTAGTAACTGGGGTGTAATCATATGTACGTACTGCAGTGACCAGGGAAGCCAAATGCCACTAAGAAGGGGCACTTTTGAGGAGACATTTTACCCACAGTGAGAGGGCAGCCATGCCTGCCACGTCCCTGTGCTTGCAGGAGATGGCTGGTACTGCTGCCTCTGCAGGTCCTGCTTTCAGGTACAAAGTGACTCTTGGGAGCCACTCCCAGATGGAACCTGAGCTGAATTCCTGTGGTTTGCTGAAGTGTCTGTGGGCCTTCTAGTATTTTCTCTTATAAAGCCATCCATACAGAATATACAACATGCTCATGGAAAAGCAAACACTCTGCAGCACTGGCTGCCACCTTGGAAGAAAAGGTATTAAAGAGCCAGAATCTTTCTGGCAATGGCACAAACATTTCCTATGTTAGTGAGAGCTGAGCTCAGAGGATTATGTTCAAGGTGACTCAGATTTCTAGCAGTGACAGTCACCTTGTGGTCTACAACCCAGTGTTTCTTCACAAGCCAAACCCATGGTTGTCTCAAGGCCACTGTCTTACACAGACACCAGACACATCACTGAGGCTCTTGATCAGGAAGAGATTCCTTGTGTTTTCCAGGGAAACCAGCACCCTTGTGTCACAGGACATGCATTCCCCTATCCCACAGGCAGGGTCAGAGAGGTAGGACCCTGCAGCACTGGTGGGTGTGCATCAGCCTCTGTGCCAACACCAACCGACACCAACAAAACCCCACGGCTGGGTACCAGTCACCTCTCACTGCACAACTCCCAGGAGAGACCTGAGTTGTGGCTTCTGGGCTTCCAGCACCAGAGCTGCTCTTGGGTCACGTCAGGCTGAGAAATACAAAGTTTGATCCAGGCTGTGGGTTGACCAAGAGTTTGTGCACCTTTGCTGGGAGGGGGGAAACGAAAGACACCGAATTCATGCTCTGTCCACCAACCCCTGGCAGCATCAAGCCACCAGCCTCCCTAACATCCATTGTGGCAGTGGAAAATGAGGGGTTGGTTTGGAGTTGTCATCCCAATGTTAAGGCCCTGCTGAGATGCACAGGGCACTTTGCTCTGAGCTGCTGCTTCAGGCTGCCCACAACTGATTTATACCAGAGTGAGGTTTGAAGGGTATTTTCACACCCGGGGCTGTGTGGATTTGACTTTCAAATGAAATCTAATCCCACTAACACAAAAAAATGTAAAAGGATGCAGCAGGAGGATAAACTGGATTGCATGTATGTGTGTGTCCAACAGCCCTGTGAGGCCATATCAGTCATGATAATATAATGAGGCAATAAGTCACATAAATGAATTCATTAAGTCCCTAGGCTAGCTAGAACATTCCTTCTTTAGCTGCAGACAGTTATAATGCTTGTCTATTGAATTCATTTCTCCCCAACAATCCAGGTTCACCTTTCTGTGCTATAAAGCCCCACTTCTACGCTAAAGAAATACCCTCATAATGTTTTTTTTCTCCTAAGTGAAGGCCTTCTCTAGATGAACAAGTGCACAGGGACCCTGGGCTTGGCTAAGAGGGGAGCAGTTCTACAGAAAAATCTTCAGATTTTACAGAACCATCCCCCAAGTACAGAGGTTGAGAGAAACTGAGACCAAGATTTTCCTATTCCTTCCTCTTAGGATCTGTATTATTTTTCTTCCCCTTTGGGGAACATACATGGCCTGAGCTCTCTGTCTGGCAGCAGGAAGGGTCCCCACCACTCTGACACCTCCACGGTGACAAAAGCAAACAGAGAGGAGAGCACATCTTGCCCCTCTACAGGCATTTGTGCTGGTGGGAACATATTGATAACCTGTAGGTTTTAAAAATGTTTTATACTCAGGGAAAAATTTATTATTTCCACTTTTCAGAGGAAGCCTTGGAGGCAGAGAGGCACTGCATCCCTGCAGGCAGGGCTCGTCGCTAGGTTGAACACAAACAAGAGGGACTTTTTTCTTTCTTCATCAAATCATCAGCTGCTGCAGGCTGATGTGGGAGCCAAACCAGGAACAGGTTCAAAAGAGACTTTGACAAATTCATGGAGAGCTGGCTATTAAACTTGACGATTCAAATGTAACTTCTAGCCCAGGAGGTCACTAAACTGACAAGTGATGAAAGCTAGAAAGATTTATTGCAGAAAGGTTGCTGTTTCTTATATTCTATCCATATACTCCTGCTACCATTTACATGTTTGTGCTCCTTAGCAGACTCTATATGGGCACAAAAATTAGCTTTGATGAATTAGGTTCATGGTCTGCTTATTTTAGGAACTAAACCTCACTGAGCTTCAGACCCAGCCTCTCACATCAAGGCTGCTGATCCTGTTTGGTATGAAGCAGCCTGCTTGGTGTGAAGGCTGCTGCTCCTGTTTGTGAACTTGCTCCCTGCAGAGATCAGAGGGGACCTGGCCAGGACAGTCAAATGGCTGTGGAAGATGAAGGCTGCTCCTCTTCCAAAAGCTGGCTCATTAAGGGATAGGTCAATCTTCTTCCATTTCCCTCTCTGCCCCATGACATCCCTCTGAAAAGTGCTGTATTAATAATGGAAGATTTTATCTGCTGATGCCTCAGCCCGGTGATTTTCAGCCTCCCTCAGGGGAAAAGTCTGTATTATTGACAGAGCAGAGAAGAAAAACCTTCAATCCAAAGCAAAAAATGTTACGACTCACCAGCTCTCTTAATCCTCTTCCTCTCTTTCAGCTGGTAGGGCTTGTGATCGTGTGACAAGGGGATGGCATTCCCATCCTTGTCACACAAGACTCCTCGCGAGTCACCGACGTTGGCCACCGTGAGCTCTTTGTCCGACAACAGCGCGATCAAACAGGTGGTGCCTGGAAAACACAGAAGGGAATGGGAAGCAAAACAAATACAGGGGGTGTGCACATGTACATATATACACAAATTATTAGTAAGAAAATGTTCTTCCTATTGATCACGCCAGAGAAGGGCTGAAGTGGGTGGGGTGTTCCCCAGTCTCTGTCTCAGAGTTGGCTTTTTCTGATGGGAGTAGTAAGAGAAGAGCACAGACGAGCCCCAGAGCCCACTCAAGACTCATGTGGACTGAAACTACTGCAGGAGTTTCCCTCACCCCCTCCAGAACTGAGCTCAGTGGTTGTATGTGTTTTAATGGAAAAGCAGAAAAGATTTGACATTTTTAATTACTTTAACCTTTAAATACACCAAAAATGTAATTATTCCCCGACCACCTTATCCAACAGGCTTAGTGTTTGTTGGCCAAGGTGGTGGGGAAATACTGGAAAAACTGGCTGGTTAACACTGTAGTTTTTATTTTCCTCATTTAATTGACGCAGAGTGGAATGAATATTGAGCAAAGCAGAGCCCACTAAGACCATGAGTATTTTATATTTTCCCTTTCCAGCTCGTACAATCTGTATTCACAAAACCTCCAGCTATTACAAATATTCTTTGCATGGCCTTTGGACCAGATGCCATGATTTGTATTTTAGAACAGAAAGATGGCAAGTAAGTTTTTAGATACACACTAACAAACATTAAAAAGCAAGATGCCTGGCACTCAGTTCAGATTGTACAGTGTTAAAAAAACCCAAGCAGTTACACAAAGCACTCTAGGATCCTTCAATAGTAAATAAAATTAACTTCATGGCTTATGGCTTTCTTTTCTTTCCAGGCAGACCAGAGAAGAGCATGGTTGGTTTTTCACCAAAAAGCTAAAATGGTCTTAAAGCTAAATTCTCATGGCTGCTGCTTGTTGCTTGGCTGTCCCAGCCCAGAGTTAAAAGCCATGTCTTGCTGCTCCCAGGTCAGTATTTGAATATCCCATGACTGGTATAAATAAAATAGCCAGTAATAAACAAGTTTTGTTTAGATGCACTGTGTTCAGAAGATTTATTTTTAACTTCATGGTCTGTCTTGCACAGCTCCAAACTAGAGCTATTTTTTCACAAGACAGGCATATATATATATTTATATAATTTTTTCAATTTGACATATTGCAGACCTAAATGGATCTAGTTTCCCATTTGTTACTAAAACCCCTTGCAACTGCACAACTTAATGGCTCAGCCAACAACAGGACATGCAGAGGAACCCATCCATCAGGGTCACCTGAGGAACCCAGCAAAATGAGCTGCTGCTCAAGAAACATCTCTGAAGGCTAAAGGAGATGGCACCAAAGGGTGTGTAGAAGGCTGTGAACAGACTCATTCTCACCCTAGAGGACGTGGTAGTTAAAATACCAGTATCCAAACTACAAAGACAACAAAATGACAGTGAGGGTACAACGTGCCATAGAGGGGTGCAGCTGGTCATTGGAACAGAACAAAATGGGATTTAGCATTTGAGGTCACCTGAACAAATGCTGCAAATGCATGAAGCTCTGCTGCAGCAAACTACAGCAATAAACAACACCCCCTCTTGCTTTTTTTGATGCAAACTTCCTTAATGCATGTCCAAGCAATGCTGTGCTGATAACCTGTGAAAGCATGGAGGGCTGGTACCTGCTGCAGCTGGTCTGACAGGCTGTCTAAACTTCAGAGAGAAAAAGAGTGGTCACCTTTGCCATTTGGGCTGAAAACAAGACCTGTGAGATGTTTTTAAATAGGGGCAAAAGTTAAAACCTTGCTGGATGGGAATACAGAGCCCAAACCAACTCCAGAATGATCCTGGTGTGCTGCAGGAGACCCACACACTGCACACAAGGCTGCAAACCTCTGTGATCCACCACCCAAGTGATGCTTCTTTCCAAAGAGCAGAGCTCCAGCTGTACCTCTGGCTGCTGTCTTGGCCTGACATTTGCATTTGTAAATTCAACAACTCTCCTGTGTGCAAAACCACCCCACTGCTCCAGACTGCCTTCCCCCTTCCAAGACACCAGCACAGGGTGTATTTTTTGCAGTAGAAAAACTCCATACATTTCCTAGTAAGGAAAATACTGCAAATAACACCCTACGGCCCGGGCATTTAGCAAGTAAAATGCTTCACATACATAGTCATTATTACCATGATTTATATAAAAATGGTAACTTTAAACACAGTCTTAGTTATACGATCTGTGTGAACGAAAGAGAATGAGCATCTGAAATGGAAGATGAATTCCAAAGTGATTTAGGAAGGATCAATTTTTTCACAGTCCCTGACTAATGGCTGGGCTATCCTTAAGTCCCTGACCTTCTGCTGCTGTTGGCCATTACATGAGAAACCAAACTTATTTTACTTTGCTTTCTTTTCCATCTATTTTTATTTCAGTCATTTAACCTTGTGTAGAGCTAGAAAATACCATGCTCCTGTCAGCTGCCTCAGATTTAATGCAATTGCACAATGGAAAATTCCCAACATAAAGGGTCCAAAATTGAGAACACATGTTATATTAGTCCCTCGACGCGGCTGCCTGAATAATGCCCTGCTGAGCAGCTTACAAAGAAAATCACCAGAAAATTTAAAACCTGTACTATATTGGCTGCAGAGATAGGTTGTTTGTTTTTTTTTTCCCCTGTTGTTGTTTGTTTGCCTGTTTGTTTTTTTTTTCCAGTCAGGTAAGATTATTGGTGTTGTATTTTAGCATCAGACAAGGCACCTTGTAAAAGTCAGGGCTGCGGCAGCTCTCCCGGTGCTTAGATAACTGCTTTATGGGAAGGAGATGGCACCAGAGGGCAAGCGGGGCCTGAGGAACACATTAGAAGGCATTAGAGAGCCCAGGCACAATCCAGTTCACCCTGAGGCCCATGAAGATTCTCCTTCTTCATACGTGGTGTCAAAAATCCTGCTGATGCCTGGCTCCACATCCTTGCCAGCAGCTCGGGGTGAGGACCAGAGCTCCTGGGTTTTGGGTGGCCCAACCTGGTTGACATTCCCCCCTCCTCTACTTCCCTCTACTCCATTAGCAACAGTGCAGTTCATCTCACCACATCCTCTCTTGCCTTCTGCTTTCCATGTCTCTCATGCCCCACAGGTTTCAGGCCATCAGCACATGTAACCTCTTCCCTTCCTCTTCCCCCTCATGGCTCCCTTTGACCCTGAGCTTTCTGAGGAATCCCACCTCCACCCTGTCCTTACAGCAGGCTTTTAAATGTTGAAGCTCCCCAGCCAAGGCTCCTCCTCCTGAACAGATGTGGTTCGCACACGTGCCTTCTCGCATTCTCCAGTCCTCCCCCACCTTTTTGGTGGCTCTTGGCACAGAGTCTCTTTCCCAGACAAAACTGAGAACTGAGACTTCCGCCTCCTACATTTTAACGATTGCTTTTAGCCACTGCTTGTGCCGAGGGTGCTCGTGTGCTGCCTGCCATTCACCCATCTTCCTACTCTACTGACTGTTTTCATGTTTCCATTTGTTACCACCTCGTCCCTATGCTTCTCTTGCTCTTGTCTTCTGCAGTGCACCTTCGTAACACCCCTGTAAAATACCACCATCACCCTCAATGGTTTCCATGGCTCCCACTGCTTTCCTGCCCCACCTCAGAGCTCTCTGAAGATGCTGGTGGCTGCCACTGCCACTCACTGCCTGGCAAACAGCTCAGCCTGTTTGCTTTGCAGATGTTTACCCCAACGCTTTCACTGACCATCTCCCACAGCCTGTCTTGGATGGGATGACCTCAGAAACTGAGAACATCATCATGTTCTTCAGAGAGACCAACACTGTCCTCTTAACATTTAGCCTAAAAGCATTAAATCCCAGAGAGTTAAAAGTTACATCAGGTCCCGCACAGGGAGGGCTCGTGCCAGCTCGTCTGCATTACACAGAAGCTCTAAGTGTTAGGAAAATAGTCCAATCTCAACTCTGAGAAAGACTGCAGAGGGGGGAGGTGGGCTCCAGCAGCTGGGGCTGTGGTGAAGCTGTGGGGAAAAGGATCCCCATAACCTTAATTAGAAAGGGAGTATCCCAAGTGCCTGGACCTGCCCCACGCTCAGACGGCCACGGGTCTCGCAGGCTGTGTCCGTAGGGTCAACTGTAGAGCTGGAGAAAAATTCCATGTAAAATTTCTGTGTAGCTTGAGCCCTCCACTGACAGCATCTTTGACAATAGCAGCAGGATCCAAGCAGCCGTATCCCTATCCAGGCATGAAACTGACACTGGAATAACAGCTCCAACCAGTCCTCCCTCAGAACTGTGCAAAAAGCAGGATAAGAAAAACTATTCATTTCTGTTTACTCCCCAGCAGCGACTCACACTGCATGCAGCTTCTTTCTCATTTATAGACATGCATTCCCACTTGCCTTACAGGGACTTTAAATCCTAAACAATAAGAATCCAGCAGTTTTTAGGGTAGATATGTGAAATTTTTATCATTAATATTGCTGTCCTCTGTGCCCATCTGCCTCAGCTCCTCCTGTCGAGACCGGCCATGTGTCTCCTGAATTTCTATTTTACATGCTCTGCACACACCCCTCAGGCAATGCAAATAAAACTTTGATTATAGCCTGTGGAGTAGGCAAGACTGAGAAAAACACCCCAAGTAAGTAAATGAGGGAGGGTAAGGGAATCTCTTGTGTCCCAGTTGCCAGGAATATGGATAAAAAGTGGTGTGAGACCGTCATGATCATGGACCAAACACCACCTCCACATGCCCTCCCAGTGACCCATCAATTCTAATCCAAAGCCATAAAAATAAATCTAATTATCCACTGCTTATCTATAAGATAAGCAATGATAAAACCAAGCAGCAGACATTCACATTTTGTTCATGCTACGACACGAGGGGAACTGTGGGAACTGCAGGGGCTGAAGCCCTTTTCTTGCTCTGATGCTCCCCAAAGCACAGTGCCTATGCAGCAAAGGAGGGACAAATCAGGTACTGGGAAGAATAGCTCTCCAAACTGAAAACAACATGATGCCAACAGCCTGTAATTGGGGTGG